ACACACACACATGGCCCACACATACCCAGCATGCACACACACACACATGCACACACACACGCACGCACACACACAAGCACGCACGCACGCCCAGCCCACATATACCCGGCACACACACACACACACGGCACACACGGCACACACATACCTGGCACACGCACACACACACACACCCGGCCCACATATACCCGGCACGCACACACACATGCGCACACACGCACACACGCATGCACGCACACGCACACACGCCCGGCCCCCATACCTCATCCACAAACAGGAAAGGCTCCACAGTCTCTCTCATGGTGTCATCGATGAACCTGGTCATCCGCTCCCGGACTTTGTTTATATCCTGAGCCCAGGGCTCCTTCAAGGGACAAGGAGGACAAACGAGAAATCATCACAAATGCAGGTGACAAGACCCTCATCGCTCAGGTCCAGGACGGAACCTCAGCCAACTCTGAGTCGCCGCCCGCAGGGGCCACACATCCGGCCGAGGCCTCCCGCCGCGCAGGCTTGCTGGGAACCGGAGCCAAAGGAGCAGAAGCGACGTGGGTCCGAGGCCATGGCCGTGCCGGGCCGTCTGGTGCCCCCCTGAACTCTGCCTTGGCAATCATGAATAGCTGTCGCCGACAAAAGCCAAGGAGCACAGCTGTGTTCCAATAAAACTTTATTGACAAGAACAAGTGGCGGCTGCTAGTGACCTGTGCCTGCCCTGACGAGCTCTTGGCACAGATTTAGTGTTAAACTCCGGACGTCACTGCCACGTTAGAGGCAAGGACAGAGAGGCCCAGAGCGATCACCTAAAGATGGCAGTTCACAGAGCTGGGAAGCAGCGGTCCGCGTGCCAAGTAAGCAAACTGGAAAACAGCTGCAGAATGGAGTCATGTGAGATCGTGCGCTGCCCGATCAGAGGCTAGTGATGTCTGAACTCTAGGTGGCCAGCTCCGTAATCACTTCTGCAGCGTCAGAACAGTCAGGAACATATCTACAGGGTGCAAACTGCCCCCACTACTGCCTTTACCCCCCCACACCCTGACTCCCGGCGGTCACGGGCAGAAAAGATAGAACTTGGCTGGAAGCACACTGCTGCTGCCTCCGCTGACCCCCTCCGCCTTGCCATGTTTTACATCCTCTGCTCTTACAGAGAAGAAAGGCCAGCAGCTCACATCTGTGAGCCCAGCTACTCAGGAGGTTGAGATCTGAGGTTCACGGTTCAAGGCCAGCCTAGGCAGGAAAGTCCATGAGACTCTTATCTCTGAGTGAGCACTAAAAGAGCCAGAAGTGGAGCTGTGGCTCGAAGGGTAGAGTGTTAATCTTGAACAAGGACTCAGGCCCTGAGCTCAAGTCCCAGGACAGACACATAAAAAGGAAGGGAGGGAAGGAGGGAGGGAGGGAAGAAGGGAGGAAGGGAGGGAGGGTAAATGTGCCCCAGGCCCTACGGTGGATGGGAAGGGCAGATGTGAGAAAGAGCAGGGGGCCAGTGACAGACATAATGGGGTCGCAGAGCCCCGCCTGGCTGGCACAAGGTATAAACCATCCCCGGCCTGCGGGTGGCTCTTGCCAATCTCCCTGGGCAGGAGTGCCAGGAGGCTGCAGAGAGTCTCGGCGCTCCGCACAGTGGCCATCACAGTCCACATGTCAGAGTGCAGGACGGCCCAGGAGACCGTCCACCTCCCTCGGAACGAGCTCTCGGCTGTGTTAAAAGGCCTGGGCGCCAGCAGCTGTATGACCTCTGTGTGACCTCTGCCAGAAGAGGTCCAAAATGCCTTCGGCACTGTGACACAGCGCAGCAATAAAAATAAATACACAACTAAAGCCCCGGTGCAAGCAACACTGCGCACGGACTGGACGAGGCCCGCGCTAAAATCTTCCCTCCCACTGATCACAGGCTCACGCCTGTAACCCCTGACATGCAGGAGGCTGAGGTCTGAGGATCACAGTTCAAATCCAATTAACCAGCAACAAATACAGTACAACACATCGAAAAATAGAACACCTGCTGTGAAACGGTGGCTCGCGTGGTGGAGCACTGGCCTGGAGCAAAAACGCCAGGTAAGAGTGAGCGGTTCTGAGTTCAAATACTGGCACCCACTCAAAGACAAATGACCACTTTACCTTCCACGGAACACAACCTCGGGCAGCACATGCTATTCTCTGCGCTGTATAAATGGGGAAACTGGGGCCTCTATCAGTACACAAGTTGACTGAGATAGTGCCCAGGCAGGCCCAATCAGCTCTGGGGGCTGACCTTTAACCCCACTCTTAGACACACGCGTGCGCATGCGCATGCGCTCACACACACACCCTCCTCTTCCTTTTCCTCTTCCTCCTCCTCTTCCTCCTCCTCCTCCTCATCATCTTCCTCCCCCCTGAGTTATGTTAATCTGCCATGGGTGGAGACTCAGACAGTCCACGTTTCCATCCTGATTACAACACTGCCATTACATACCAGGGTCAGTACCGAGGACAGGGACTACTTAATATCTCTTTTACTATCTTAAGTTTTTGAGGCAGGTATGGTGGCACAAGCCTGTAATCCCAGCACAGAAAGGCTGAGGGAGGAGGATCTACCTCAGCCAAGGCCAGCACGGGCCGAGTGGATCTGTCTCAAAAAAAAATAAATAAGCAAATGCATAAATAAGTCAGGTTTTCATTCTAAACCGCACGCAGCCAACGTGCTTGCTAGAAGAGTCGTAATCACTTTCGCCCCAAGGGCCAAGGAGGCATGCAGAGTCCCCCAAACGCACAGGCTGCTTAGGGGTGCTGGGTTCTAATTCTGCAGGCTCACTCACTCCTCTCTGGGTCACGTGACCCTCCCGCCGGTCATTCATGACAGTCCAGTCATTCATTCACTCTATTGCAGGGGAAATGGCGTCCGCGGCCACCAGGTGGCGCCAGGCCTGCTGCTCCACAGCAGCTCTAAGGCCCGACACCAGTTCTTTCCCAAAATGCAATTCAACGCTTAGTCCCAGCACAGGGCTGGGAAGCCCACCCGAGTGACCGCGGGGGGGGGGGGGGGGGGAGGCGCCATCTCGAAGGCCACCAGCAAAATACAAGGCTGGCCGCATGGTTCAGCAGCATCACACCGGCCAATAAAACAGCTCAGAAAGACAGTTAAGTGTCACAGCGGCCAACATGTCCCTGGGCCCGATAAACCCCTCTGTGCCCCGCGGCTAAGCCCCGACCCGGCCTCAGGCTGAGCCAGAGCTGCTCCCCACCCCCCCACTCACATCTCTACCCGGGGCGCACGGCCGTCCCACCCCGGCCTCGTTGGGGGCCGCAGGTCTCCTGCAACAGGGGCTGTCACCTGACGCGCACGGGAACGTGACACGGGATCGCGGCTTCTCAAGTAGCCCCGTTCCGTGCGCAACGCCGGCCTTCTCCAGCCAGGAGGGGGGGGGGGGGGTTGCAGGAGGAAGCAAAGGCAAGAACACGGACGATCTAAACGTTAGTGGGTCAGTAGTCGCTGAACTGTTCAGCAAGACTGGGGTTTGGGTGTGTTCTCTTGTCTGTTTTTGTTTCTTGCTTTGTTGTTATTTTGCTGGTCCTGGGGCTTGAACTCAGGGCCTGGGCGCTGTCTCTGAGCTTTTGCAGTGGTAGGTTAGCACTCTACCACTTTGAGCCACAGCACCACTTCCAACTTTTTGGTGCTTCGTCGAAGATAAGAGTCTCAAGGACTTTCCTGCCGGGGCTGGTTTTGAACCATGATCCTCAGATTGCAGCCTCCTGAGTAGCTAGGATGACAGGCGTGAGTCACCGGTGCCTGGTAAATTAATTGTGCTGTGACCCTAAAAAGTACTCTAAAAGAGAAAGACTAGTTGGGAGGGAGTGAGGAAAGAAATAAGGGAGGGAGGGAGGGAGGGAGGGAGGGAGGGAGAGGAAGAAAGGGAGAGGTGGCCGGGTCACTGATCCATCAATGACAGATATAAAGAGGAACTGTAAACTCAGGACACCCACGCATGTGCTCATACTATGGCCGTTTTCTTGTCCCTCAGTTGGCAGAGGTGGGGGGGCTCTCCCCCCCATTTAGAGAGAAGGAAACTGAGGCACAGAGAGACTAAGACACCTGCCCGAGGCCACACAGCCAGTGAGAGGACCCAGGTTTACCTTACTGCCATGCCCGTGTCTCAGCCCCAGCCCTGCCGTCCTGGAGACTGTGTTCCCTTTGGAGGGGGACCCCGGGTGCCACGGGGTGTCCAGAAGCACCCCCCCCACATCCGGCTGCATCTCCCACTGTGGCACCCAACAGCGTCCGCAGGCCCTGGCCACATCTTCCGAGGGATCAGCACGCCTGAGGCCGTGCCAGGCCCCAGAGCCCAGGCGCAGCCCAGCTCCCAGCTGAGGCCCCGGGGTGCGGCCACCCCGCCCGACCCAGCCCTGCCCGGGGCGTTCCTCATCAATGCCGATCAATGCCGGCCCGCGGGACCCAGCCCTCCCCGGGGCGTTCCTCATCAATGCCAGCCCGCGGGACCCAGCCACGGAGGCCGGCCGTGCTGTGTGGCACCCGCCTTCAGCCCGGGCATGGTGAGGCTGCGAGATGGCCCAGCTCCGCGGTCTCCTCACCTGCTGTTCGTGCAGGAGGAACCTCTGGAAGTCCTGCAGGTACACCACGGAGGCCTCCAGCCGGTCCGTGCTCCTGCCCCGGGGAGAGAGGGAGGATGGGGGCCTTCACGGGCAGCCAGCGCCCCCGTGCCAGGCCCCACGAGCACACGGTCCCCACGGAGAAGCAGGGACAGGGCAGGTGGGGACGCCCCCAGGGTCTCTGCTCCCCCATTCTGGAGGCCGAGTGGCTGCTAGAACAGACGCGCCGAGGCCGGGAGACCAGGGCTCAGCCACGGCGGGAAGGAGCGCCAGGCCCAGAGCTCGAGGGACAGAGGCCGGCACCGTGCGGCGCACGCCGTCATCCCAGCTGCTCAGGAGGCTGAGATCTGAGGATCGCAGTTCAAAGCCAGCCTGGGCAGGAAAGTCGGTGAGACTCTGATCTCCAAGAACCAGGAAAAAGCTGAAAGTGAAGCTGTGGCTCAGGAGGCAGAGCAAAAAACTAACGAGGGCTGGGGAGGTGGCTCCGTGGTAGAGCGCTGGCCTAGCATGCCTGAGGCCCTGGGTTCCAGTCCTCAGCACCACACACACAGAAAAAGCCACAAGTGGCGCTGTGGCTCAAGTGGTAGAGTGCTAGCCTTGTGCAAAAGAAGCTCAGGAACAGGCCCTGAGTTCAAGTCCCAGGACTGGCACAAAAAAAAAAAAACACCTAACGGAAAGCACCCAGGCCCTGAGTTCAAGCTCCACTGCTGGCGCGCGTGCGTGTGCAGACACACACACAAAGACTGCACACCAGTCTGGCATGTGCTCTGCCGCGGACAGGGTCAGATTTGGACGGTGATGAGAGGTCAGGCATTCATTCGGCCATGAGGACTCGAGCCCCAGACCCCAGCCACCGTCCAGGGGTCCCCAGCCCCATGCAAACACATCTCCTGGTCAGAAAGGCGTGGGGCACACAGGACACTTGTGGGACGAAGGCCCTGACAAGTCCCGCAGCAGGACTCTAAGGGCACCCGTGTCCTTCGTGTCTGTGACATGTCAAGCGCCATGCGAAGCCATGTCCAAGTGTCAACTCGCTCTCACTGAGCCTGGGTCTAATGAACCAGCTACGACTTTGACCCATTAAGAGTTTCAGGTTTGATTTGAAACAAAAGACAAACAAGAAAACGGCTCACTTGTGCAATCCCACGCAGGACACTACAAGAAGCACCCGAGTCCTTCAGGCCTCTTTCCAGAATGCGCTGGACTCTCCCCGCCCCCCACCATGCATTGCTACTCCTGCTACAGTCTTGGGATGGTCAGCACCCCCCCACCTCCCCCACGATGGCCGTCCCAGAGGTCAGCGGGGCAGAGGACACAGCACCCCAAGTGCCGGAGTCAGGCGGGAAGCTCCTCACCCCAGAATGAACACAGAGGAATCCTTCTTGAATTCATCAAGTATCTGCAATGGGAACACGCAGAGAATGAGGATGTTACATGAGTTATGCAGCCTGCCTGTCGCCCTAGCTGCTCGGGAGGCTGAGATTGGATGATCACAGTTGGAGGCCAGCTCCCACAGGCAAGTCCAGGAGACTCTTATCGCCAAGGAATCACCACAAAGCCAGAAGTGGTGCTGTGGCTCAAGCGGTAGAGCGCCAGTCTGGAGCACAAGAGCTCAGGGACAATGCCCAGGTCCTGAGTTCAAGTCCTAGTACCCGCTCACATACACACACCAAAATAAAGGCAAACTGTATGGTACGGTGGTTCCTTGGCCAGGCGGGAGAGGAGCGGCTCCTGTCTGGGATTCCCAGTGCAGGCGGGACTCTGCGAACCCTCTTACCGATTTCTGCTGCTCGAACATCAGCTTTTTGTAGAAGAGATGCAGCTGTTCGAAGCTGAGCTCGTCTTTGTGGGTGCTGATTTCCTGTCAACAGCAAGCACGTGCCATCACTGCGCGTCAGAAGCTGCTCGAAGCCGGCCTCCGCCCTCAGCAGAAAGCATCTGGCTAAAATCCATCTTAACCAACACTGTCTTCGGGCTCCTAGCCTGTCTGCCCTTGAAAACACAGGGACCCGGGCAGCGCACCCCAAAACCCCTGCAAGAGTCTCAGCCCGGTTTCCAAAAGCTGCAGAGAACTCCTCCTGCCGGAGGGCAAAGAAACTGTGGAAGAGGCGGGCGCCGGTGCTCACGCCTGTCATCCCAGCTACTCAGGAGGCTGAGATCTGAGGATGGCGGTTCAAAGCCAGCCCGGGCAAGAACGTCTGTGGGACTCTGATCTCTAACGAACCACCAGAAAACCGGAAGTGGTGCTGTGGCTCAAGCAGTAGAGCGCTCCCTTGAGCTGAAGAACGCAGGGACAGCGCCCAGGCCCAGAGTTCAAGCCCCACAACCAACAAAAAAGAAAAAGAAAATAGAAAAAAAAACAAACTGTGGACTTCCCGATCCTGATGCTTTTATAAATATATACATATAATTTATACTTTAAAGCATAATGCTTGTCTTTAAGCCTGACTCCATTCAGACGGCTTCATGGCTCTGGGTAATTTAATTTTCACACCACTGGAAGACACTCGGTGCCTTCATCTGTAACATGGGAGGCCGCCAGTCCTCCCAGCCCCACCCCCAGGGCCTCCAAGAAACCACATTTTCCCCTTCCTCTGCTCCACCCATCTGTGTTCTCTGTGAGTTCCTAAGGAACGTTCCAGAGAGATCAGAGGAAGGCGTGGCCAGCAGTTCTAGGAGCTCAGTAATTGAAAAATGAAGCTGGATTGCTGGTGGTTCACACCTACAATCTAGCTACCCAGGAGGCTGAGACAGGAGGATCAAGGTTCCAGGCCAGCCCAGGCAGAAAAGTCTATGAGATTCTTAGTATCTTCAGTTAACCACCAGAAAGCCAAAAGTGGAGCTGTGGATCAAGTGGTAGAGCACCAGCCTTGAGTGAAAAAGTTAAGCAAGAGCACAAGATCTGGAGTTCAAGCCCAAATACAGCGCGAATGTGTGTGCACACACATACGTGCACATGCGCATGTACACACAGGCACACATGCATGACACGCGTGTTCGTATTCCCGGGAAGGAACTGGGGGACTGTCCGGAAGGGCGGTGGGGGAGACAGAGCTGAGGTCTGACACAGACATCACAGTCAGCACAGACTACACCTCTGCAGGGCAGAGACCTTTCTAGAACTCCACTCCCCAGCGCAGCAGGCCGCCCGGCAGGCCTGCGACCCGCTGCACAAGACGGAGCTGCAGGGCTGCGAGACTCACCATGAACTTGTCCTTGAGGAGTTTCACGCTGTTCACCTTGAAGTTCACTGTGGGCAGAATGGCCTTCATCTCCCGGAGGCCAATGCTGAGTGGGGAGGAGACGGAGGGAGGGAGGGACGGAGGGAGAGACAGAGAGAGAGAGAGAGAGAGAGAGAGAGCGCAGCTCATCAACCACCAACCTCACGGCAGCGCTGGAGTGTGCGCGGCGGTGGGAGTAGCTCTCGGTGCGCAGATGCACCTCGCAGCGCTGTGCCAGGAGGGGGGCCATGCCCACCACCAGAGACAGTTCTGGAGGCCGGCCAGAACAGAGAATCTCAGGACAGATTGCACCGGGGTCCACAGCACACCGTGGTCTGGCCGACCCCAGCAGGGACGGTCGTGAACCCCGAACCAGCACGAGAGGCCCACTGCCCAGCGGCTGCCCACATCAGCTGCCTTGCCCAAACGAGCCCCCAGTGTCAGCACACCAAGCTGCACCGCCACAACCACCTTTCCCAGCTCCCCTGGAAGCCACACCCGCACCCCCAGCAGCCTCCGCCTCCTCCACAGCAGACATTACTAAACAATCGCCGTGCTCTTCTCAGTCTCCAGCGCCAGTCTGGCCAAGGGCCAGGATCCGGTCCACACTGCACCTGGGACAGCCATTACCAATGGAGCAAAGCTGGTTCACACACACACACACACACACACTTCCCTGCCAGCCCAGTGCCCAAGGTGTGAGGTAGGGACGACTCTTCAAGCTGAGGACACTGCGGCCCGGGGACATGAAATGGCCAACCACCACTCACGCAGCGGCAGGCGTGAGGGTGAGCTTTACACCTCTGCTGGACAGGACTCTCCATGGGGTGGAAACGGCCGACATCGGGGGCTCGAATGGCCGCCGGCCACGCGCTGCCACTCCTCATTCTACTGCATGTAACTTCCATTCTTGGGACACGGTCAGCGGCCGTCTGAGCAGGGCTCGGCCATCTAGGAACCCGGGCAGCACCCTGCCGGGGACTGCACCAAGCTCTCTGGCTCCCGGCTTCACTGTGAAACTATATAGTTTAATTGTTCAATTTCCGGTGCCCAGAGGATGCCAGGCGTGCCCAGCTCAGAGCCTCTTAACCACACGCAAGCCATCGGCACAGAGGGAGGCGCATGGAGCCTCGCCTGTCTCCGCTGCCGCCTTCCCCAGCCCAGCCGCACAGCCCGCAGGACGGAGGAAGCGGACGCTGCGTCCGCAGAGGGCCGTGGGGAGGGGAGGATGCTGAGAAAATGGAAGTCCGTGTGCCCGGCGTGAACAGCCTTGTGCATAAAACAGCGCCACAGGGCTTCACGCTGTTACGAAGAGGGCCAGGACAGTCTACGGGGCCCAGAGCGGGAAGCAGAGGCGGGGAGCATCAGCCACAGCAACGGACAAGGAGGGGCAGCCCAAGCATCCTTCAGCGATGGACAGACACCTACCATATCACCTGTAAGTCAAGCATGGTGATGCAGGCCTATAATCCCGGCTACTCAGGAGACGGCAGAGGCAGTGGGGGGGCGGGGAGGGGGGCGGGAATCACAAATTCAAAGCCAGCCAGGACAAAGTGAGACCCCACCACAGGAGAAAAATCCCCAGAGAGGTGAGGTGGTTCAAGCATGCAATCCGAGCAACCTGGCAGGCAGAGATGCAAAGGGGGGATTGGAATCTCAGGCCAGGCTGGCAAAACATGCATGAGAACCAAAGGGCTGAGAGCATTGCTTAACACGTAGAAGCTTGCAGAGCAAGCTGAGGTTCCTGGGTTCAATCCCCACTGCCGGAAGCAGAAGACAGCAATGTCTCTAGATGCAGAGAGTCCTGCTCAGCTTTTAAGAGGAAGGCTATCCCAGCAGACTCTGAAGAAAGGCGCGGTGGGGGACGCCAGACCCTGGAGGCCCCTGCCAGCCTTCCAGCTGTGCCAACCTCAAAATGGGCAAACACGTGCTCTGTGCGCGTGCACGTGATTATAGAGTCACATACAGAACTATAGCTTTCATGGCAGACATTAGCTTCATTGGTTTTCCTCATCAGGAAGGACAGATTTCTGTCTCGCACTAGCTCTTCAAGAGGAAAATTTAAAAGAAAAAGCCGCCCCAGAATAGTCTACCCTGGCACGGTCCACACCAAGCTAGCTGAGCTGCTTCAGGCACCTGACTCAGCCTCTCTGGGCCTCGGGGTGGCCATGAGAATGCCCAGCGGGAGCCCCTACCCTGCGCACTCTCCACAGCCCAGGCCAAGCAAAGCACCTGGGATCCGGGCTCGGCCCCTGCCGCCTGGAGCCCTGCCCTGGCCTCGGATCCCCGGGTTCTCCTTCAGGAAACCATGAGCCGATTCCTCCCCGTGGGCGGCAAGAAAGGGGGGAGCAGCCGCGTGTTCCCGGCGCCTGGGACACGGTGGCTTGTGAGGCGCTCCCTGTGGGCCTCAGGAAAGGTGGGGCTTTTCCATGTGTTGACAGAGCTGCAGGGAGGTGACACCCAGAAGCCGGCTTCCTCCCTGCGGAGGGGACCATGGCTCACACCTGAGATCCCAGCTACTCGGGAGGCTGAGGTCTGAGGAGCGAGGTTCCAGACCAGCCTGGGCAGGAACGTCCGTGAGGCTCTTATCTCTAACAAGCAGAAAGCCCAAGGGCAGCTGTGGCTCTCGTGGCAAAGCACTAGCCTTGAGTAGAAGAAAAAAAGTCAGCATGCAGTGCAAGTCCCAGTGCAGGCACAGACGGAGAGAGACTCTCTCCAGAGACAGAATGGCTCAAAGTCCGGCATGCAAAGCGCATAATAAATGGGGTTTTTTTCCAGGTGTGGTGACACACGCCTGCGATCCAAGTAAACTCGGGAGACAGAGATGGGAGGATCGTGGTCTGAGCTGGCTGGGGTCAAAGAGTCAGCAAGACCTCATCTTCCAACCAAGCCAGTCACCGCAGCCTATGCCTGTAATTCCCGCTATGCAGGAGGAAGAGCACAGTCAGAGGTCCCCCCTCGACTGTCCACCAGGCCAAAGCACAAGAACCCATCTCCAAAACAAACCCAGAACCAACACACCAAAAGCAAAAGAAGAGTGGGCGTGGCCAGAAAGAAAGAAATGCAAATTTAAGCAAACGTCAGCCGTCATCATTCAAACCCGAGATTCGCAGCGGGTCAAAGTCGGCAGCCCGGGAGGCCCCGACCCGTGACCGGATGCAGACGTCTGCACACGCACAAGTTTACACAGAGGTTTGCACCCTCATCTTTCACCGGCCCACACCCAACGGAGGATTGATCGTGTAGGCCTCGACACAAAGATGATTGCTGGTAATGCACAGCATCCACCCAGGCCACACATTTGTTAAAGAAATGAGAGTGAGGTCTAGAGCAACCCCACCTCACCTCAGCCCAGCCCTGGACAGGACCCACACTGAGCCCCAAAGCCAGGCACCACAGCTCACACCTGGAACCCCAGCCACTCAGGAGGCTGCGATGAGGACTGAAGTTCAAAGCCAGCCCAGGCAGGCAAGTTCGTGAGACCCTTGTCTCCACATAACCGCCACAAAGCCCGACATGGTGCTGTGGCTCAAGGAGCAGAGTGCCAGCCTTGAGCAAAAAAAGCTCAGAGACGGCGGGAGGTCCTGAGTTCAAGCCCCAGTACCGGCAACCAGAACATAATAATAAATTGTAAGTCTAAAGCAAACTGAAATTTTGTGAAGGATTCTTACCTGTTTCTTCTGGTTTGATCCACAGAATAAATCTGTTTTCTCAGCCAACTAGGAAGAGATTGGAGACCAAAAGAGAAAGAATATTAGAAACCAGTGCAAGTCCCAGTATGCTCCTTGCAAAAAAAAAAGAAGTCATTTCAGGCTGGGCACTGGTGGCTCACGCCTGTCATCCCAGCTACTCAGGAGGCTGAGATCTGAGAACTGTGGTTTAAAGCCAGGCCGGGCAGAAAAATCCATGAGACTCTAATCTCCAATGAATCACCAGAAAATCGGAAGTGGAGCTGTGGCTCAAAATGATAGAGTGCTAGCCTTGAGCAAAAGAAATCTGGAGGGGAAAAAAAAACGAACTCTGGAACAGCACCCAGGCCCTGAGTTCAATCCTCGTAACCACCAACAACAACAAAAAGGCAAGATTTGGGGCTAGGAAGGTGGCTCAGTGGTAGAGTGTTTGCCTCGCATGCATGAGGTCCTGGGTTTCATTCCTCAGCACCACATAAGCAGAAAAAGCCAGAAGTGGTGCTGTGGCTCAAGTGGTAGAGCGCTCGCCTTGAGCTCAAGAGCTGAGGGACAGCGCCCAGGCCCAGAGTTCAGGCCCCACAACCAACAAAAAAAGGGGGGGGGAGATTTCATCAAGTCCTAACTCCCTCTACCGAGGGTCACGAATGCCCAGACCAATCAGGACAATGGGGCAGAGGGAAGAGGCTCAGCTCACTGAGTTCACCCCAATCCCTTCCCCCCCACACCCTCCCAGGGAGCACAGGCAGAGAATCCACCACCGCTACTGAGCACCACTGTATACCAGATACTCGATGGGCCTCAAAGATGCGAAGCCCCATGTTTGCACATCCCCCCGCCCCGGTCTGTGTCCCCCAAGGCGGCAGGGCGGGGAGCACGCAGGTACCTCTCGATCATGCTTGGGGTGGATGCGCTCAGCGCTTCTTGGTGGAGGATTTTCAGGCCGGACAGCCACTTCGCCGCTTCCTCCCTGGAGTCGGCTGCAGAGGGGCGGGGCGCCGGGGGGAGGGGTGAGCTCCGGGGCCATCTGGGCCCCTCTCGGGCTTCGAGTTCCCAACAGTCCACCCTCAGCCACCCGTGGCCGGAGGCCGAAGCCCCCACAACCTCGCGTGACAGCATTCGGAGATGGGGCCTCGAGAGGCGATGGGGTGCAGGTGAAGAGGGGGCCGTGCCCTTCTGAAGAGCGGGGTGCTCGCTGGCACGGGTACCGTGAGGAAGGCGGCCCCAGCAAACCGAGGGGGGCGTCCCCAGAACCCACGGCGCCGCCCCACCGCCTGGCCCTGCCGGCCTCCAGCGCGTCCCCCAGCGGCGGCTGCGCTGTGTGCGCTGGCCGCCAGAGTGGACCGAGATTCCAAACCAACACCCACCGTCCACCGGCGCTGGACTCCGCGCCGGGTACCCCCCGCCTGACCCCTCCGGGGATTCACACTCCACGCCTTCACCCCACCCACAAGTGCCGAGGTCACAAGGAAACGCTCCCCGGGGAGCCCCGGGTGTCACCCGACTCCCAGCGTGAAGCCGCGCCGCTGACCCCTGACCACCACCGGGTCACAGTCTACACTAGGTGGGCAGCCCGTGCCTGGGTGAGGGCAGCGCCGCCCGCGCCGCCCCGCCTGCCGCCCCCCACTCATCGCCTTGTCTGAGGTGCCACCTTACTGTCCTCTGAGAAGCACCACAGGCCCCGGCCCATCCAGGACAATCTGCCCAGGACTCTCCTCCCTCCCCCCTGAAGTCCACACCCCTACAGCGGGAAACACGGCCCCAGGCCACACGCGTGGAGGTGGGGACACCTCGGGTGGCCGTCCGCAAACTCAGGAGCTTCTGGTCCTGTCACCGCGCGGTGGAGCTCATGGCCCGGCGGCAGGTGCCGCCATCCCCAGGGAACTGCAGGATTTCTGGTTCCAGTGGACAGGGAGGGGGCTGGGAGGAAGCAGGCACCGCCGTCCCGAGGGAAGCGCCCTGCTCTGGGACAGGCAGCTGCCACTCTGCAGCCAGCAGGCCAAGGCCACAGGGTGTGGAGAAAACAGGCCTCGAGACGCGATGTGCCCCGAGCAGTGCCTGGGGCTGGGGTCTCCGTCCAGGTCTGGAGCTCAGGGCAACCCTCAGGTGAGGTGCACTGAAGCCAGCCTCTCTGACCCCGACCTTGGGCACCCCTGGGCTCCCCACCCAGAGCCCCGGAGCTTCCGGGCTCCACCTGACCTGCTCTCCAGCAAGGTCAGCCTCCCACCCACCATGTGTCCACATGTGCGCCGTGTGCATGTGTGTGCTGAGCCTTGCCAAGTACATACATGTGCTGCATAGATGTGTGGCGTGTGTGCACACGTGTAACTCATACTGTGCTGCGTATAACTACTGTGTTGTGATACATGTTTGTGTGTTGTGTGATTCATGTGCTTTGTGTGGGATGTGCTGTATGTTTGCTGCTAGTGTGCACATGGATGTGTGTTGTATATGCATGTGTGTACTGCCATGTGTATGTAACTTGCCATGTGTGGTATGAGTGTGCATGTGTTGTGTGTATGCATGTATGCGTGCTAGGTTGTGGTGTGTCCTGTGTACACATGTGTGGTATGTGGTATGTGTATGTGTTATTGCTGTGCATGTGCCTGTGTGACACATGGTAGTGTGCACATGTATGTGCAGGGAGCATTGTATGCTGGGTGCACACGTGTGTTATGTGCTGTGTGTTGTATATACACATGTTGCACATATGCGCTGCATACTCTGTGTCTATATGCATGTGCTGTGTGCATATATGTGCCTGTGTGCATATAAGACCTCATAATGTGCTGTGTGCACATGTAAGATCTCATGTGTGTGCTGTATGTGTGCTGTATGCACGTGCGTGCACATACAAGATCTCATGTGTTGTGTGCACACATGTGGGTGGTGCATGGGTGTGCATACAAGATCTCATAATGCGCTGTGTGTGTGCATGTGGTGTGTATGTGTGTGTGCACATGCAGATCTCAAGGCAGTACCTTCAGATGGGCGTTTGCCGGGCAAGCTCTGCAACTGGTATTTGTGTCTGGAGAGCCCGGCCTGCCGTGAGCACACTTCTACCACCTATCGACTCTCCACATCCAAAGGCGGACAGGTGGAATGTTCCTCACACCTTCCCAGTGAGGTGGGCATTGACCACTCCCCCGCTTCCACCTCCAAGCAGCCTGCAGCTCAGAGGCTGCTGCTGCCCCAGGCCACACAGCTGGACAGCAGCTAGAACTGAACGCCCGCCCCTCCCCCACCCCCACCCCAGGCCTGGGGGAGCTGGGCAGGGTGAAGAACTTCCTGAGGAGCAGATGAACGTGCACCCACTTGCCAAGCTGAGCGTGCTGAGGACGAACTGCGTGCCGTACAGAATGGTGAAGCAGCAATCCTCCTTGTGGCGCACAGCTTTCGCACGCTCAAAATCCTTGGAGTTCTTCCCCGGGCGGATCTCCTTTATCTCCATGATGTCCACTGCAAGAAACGAGCAGGAGAGGGCGGATCAGAAGGCAGCGGTGGCACCTGGGTGCACAGCCCCCCACAGCCCCGGAAGCAGACGGCGTGTCCCCAGAGCTGGGGTGGGGAAGGTCGATCCAGGGCTGGTCCCAGTGTCTACATGCTTTGAGTGGTGACAGCATGCTGAAGGCTCTGAGCTCATCAATGGATTCCTCCAGGAGGGCTTCATGACTGAATGGGGCCTCCAGGGGGCGGGGCCACTGGAGGAAGGAGGTGGCTGGGGGTGTGGCCTTACAGGGTATATTTGACCCTGCCCCTTCCTCTCTCTGCTTCCTGGCCACCATGAGGTGAGCAACTGTGTTCCACCACTCCCCTTCGCCATGGTGCTGTGGAGCCAGGTGATCAGGGGCTGTTAAGCCAGAATCAACCTTTTCTTCCTTCAAGTTGATTCTCTCAGGCATTTTATCCCAGGAGTGAAAAGGTGGCTGATAAAAGGGCTTGGGATTTCCCAATTTCCTCTCCAGAGATGCAGACATTAAACAAGGACCGTAAGCTTTGGTAATGGAACTTGGAGAAGATTCTACCAGACAACAGGTGAACCACAAGGCCCCCTGAGTGTCACAAGAGGTCCTCCTGACCTTGATGACCTTTTACCTCCAGTCACAAAAGCTCTGGCCCTGAGCTTTTTTCACTCAAGGATGGTGCTCCACCATTTGAGCCACAGTTCTCCTTCTGGCTTTTTGGTGGTTCATTGGGGATAAGAGTCTCATGGACTTTCCTAGCTGGCTTCAAATCCCCATCCTCAGATCTCAGCCTCCTGAGTAACTAAGGTTCACAGATGTGAGCCAAAGAGCTGCTCACATCTATACTGGAATTTCCTAGCACACAACTCCTCATACCCTTGAGCATCCAACCAGAGATCTATAAGCCACATCAGCCTTCCCAGCCCTCTCCCTCCCTGCAGGGAGGGGACAAAGGCAGAGGCTGAGTTGGCCTGTGCTTTCCTCAACCTACAAGGCAAACCCTTCCTAGGAACCCAACACAGGGAGGTTTCCCGGGGACGGCGGGCATGCCGCTGGGCACAGAAGCCAGGTACCCTCCCCCACACCTGGCCCTGGGCCTCCCTCAAACCCACATCTTCTGTGCTGTTCTTGCCAATAAGCCAGTGTTCTCCAGGATTCTGGGAGTCAGTCTAGCAAATGTGCACAACCCAAGGGAGGCAGTCCTGTGACCCCCCCAATTTGTAGCTGCTCAGTCAGGAGCCTGGGGCTGGTGAGGTGTGGGTCATCTTCTTACAGCCTGTGGAATGGGACGTGGTGTCAGAGTTGAACTGAGTCAGCTGGCGTCCACTGGGGTACTGTGTGCTGGGGGCTGGGGTGGGGGGGACCTCCATGTTTGGTGTCAGAAGTCAGAATGATGTATGCAGAGCAGGGAATTTTGAGTTTTTCCTTTCTTAGAGATAAGGTGTTTGGGGATGGAGCTTTTTTTCTTTCCCCCACAAATCCTGGGGCTTGAACTCAGGGCCTGGGTGCTGTCTCTCAGCTCTTCAGCTCAAGGCTAGCACTCTACCACTTGAGCCATAGCACCACTTCTGGCTTTTTCTGCTTATGGGATGCCGAGGAATTGAACCCAGGGCCTCATGCATGCAAGGCAAGCGCTCTACCCCTAAGCCACCTTCCCAGCCCCCCTGAGCTTCTTTCTGCTCAAAGCTAGTGCTCTACTACTTGAGCCACAGCACCACTTCCAGCTTTTCCTGAGTAGTTATTGGAGATATGAGTCTCATGGACTTTCCTGCTGTGCAATCTTCAGATCTCAGCCTCCTGAGTAGCTAGGATTGCAGGCGTGAGCCACCGGCGCCGGGCTGGAATTGAACTTTTGAGGACAGATAAACACACACCCTATCAGGTTTTGGCTGGAACTACACTGAATCTCTAGGTCAAGCCGGGAAGAACAGCTCTCTTCGCGTCCTCGGTGCTCTGTCCCTGAACATGGCCCATCCGCCTGCTGTCCCTTTCAGCTTTTGCTGCAAGCCAGACATCTGTTGCTTGTATCTGGCCCTTGAGGGTCTTACAGACATAATGGCCTCATCCTTAGTTCTGGTGCTCTTTGGGCTTTGGCCTGGTTGCAAGGTTAGGGGGTTATGAGGCCCCATTCTCAGGAGAGACGCGCCCTCCCGGACCTTTCTATGGCATTAGGCGGTGCTGAGGACTCCGGGCATTCAGGTTCATGGACAACCCAGCATTTATAGCCACGGAATATGCTGGAACATAGGCTCTCCCCCCAAAAAAAAAAATGTGTCTGTCCAACACATATTCAGGAACATATCAGTCCGGTATTTGTACATGCATACACGTGTGTAAGCACATGAGAAAAAGTCTCCAGAGATTCCCACCAATTCCATAATAGCAGCCATGGGGCGGGGGGGGGGGGGTGTCCGGGTTCTCTGCCAAGTGCTCACGTCACTATGATGACTTTGTTCTCACAGTAGCTGCGGCGCAGAGGCCTTAGAAGCTGGGTTTCCTGCCTGACGAAGCCAGATAACACAGCCACAGACACGGCCTTGCCTGGCCACAGCGCACCCCAGGCCCAGCACCACCGCACGCTTCCCCAGGCCTGGCCACCCCCCCTCACTGCCCCTGGAGCTGCCCCCCTTCTTCCGGCCCTCCCCACACAGCTCCTCCCCATCCCCCTTCTCTCCCCATCAACCCCGCGGAGGTCCATGCCTGCAAGCTCAACATCGGCCTCGCACAACAGGAAACAACGCGCGCTCGGAATTCTCACCCAGGCCCCCATCCTCCCGGCTGACTCAGTTCTCGCAGCACTGGCTGAGGCGGTGCCGGGTGCCCCCCTCCATCCCGGGAGGGAGGGCAGGCTGTGCGAGCCGACACGTCTGCGCACAGGAGAATTACAGGACCCAGTGTGCACGCCTCAGCCACGGTGCTCGGGCGAAGTCCTGGGCTCAGCTGAGGAGGGAGGACAAAGCCCACAAGGAAATCCTGGAGTCCAGAGGCGGAGATGCAAACCAGAGGCTCTGCTCCTGCCGGCGTGGGGGTGGGGAGTGGGGGCCGGGCAGGTCCCCTCCCGCCCTCCCTTTTCTCGTGGTCTGCTCAGGTGCGATCTCCTTGACTGGTGTGACACCAGAGGAAGTCACAACCAGCCCAGCACCACGCCTGGCGGCGCAGGGACCACTGGTCTCTGCTCCGCCTCTTGACCCGGAACCCTGCACTGCTCCGGGAGCCAAGGTTTTGGGGCTCTGTGCACTTAGCTAACTGCACCTCCTTCAGCTGGATGACCAGCACTGGGGGTGATCAGAGGCTTTCTCAGCTTTGGAAGAATCTAGAAGACCTGGCCTTTAGCTTGGTGCTAGTGACTCACACTTGTCATCCTAGCAACTCAGGAGGCTGAGATCTGAGGATCACAGTTCAAAGTCAGAGCAGGAAAGTTCCATGAGACTCTCATCTCCAACTAATCACCAAAAAAGCCAGAAGTAGAGCTGTGGTTCAGGTGGTAGAGTGCTAGTCTTGGACAAAAAAGCTCAGGAACAGCACCCAGGCCCTGAGTTCAAGCCCCAGCACACACACACAAATACACATACACACACAAACCAACAAAAGAAAGGGAGAAAAGGAAGAAAGAAACCCAAAAGAAGAAATACACACTATTGAGAAGGGAGAAAAGACATTTTAATATCAAGCACACATTCCTGTTCCAATCAGAAAGACAGGAAGGCCGGGTGCTGGCTCGGAACTGTCATCCTTGCTTCTCAGGGGGCTGAGATCTGAGGATCGTAGTTGGAAGCCAGCCCAGGAAAGAAAAGTCCCCATGAGACTCTTCTCTCTAATTAACCACTCAAAAACCGGAAGTGGAGCTGTGGCTCAAACTGGTCGAGCCCTAGCCTTGAGCAAAAGAGCTCAGGACAGTACCTAGGCCCTGAGTTCACGCCCCACCATGGACAAAAAAATAAAAGTCAGGAAGGAGCCACACTGGCAGCCCGGGCCGCACGCCGTCTGGAAGCCATGTTCTCTCCCACAGCAGAACTACAGTGGTGAACCCCAGAAATCCCTCTTCACTTCCCCCACACACCCCGGCGGCTACATCCCCACCCCTCGGCTGCCTCTGTCCTGGCAGCGCCCTGCTATTTCTAGCCAGGCCAGAAATACATGGTCTTGCAGCCTCCTGATGAGCCCGGCATCAACCCAGAGGAAGCACGTGCGGAGGGCCGGGCACACACTGCGGCAGGCAGCTGGGGAGGCCAGCCGAACCCGGCCGCAGAAGCGCACCGCGCACAAGGGCGACCAGGCTCCTCACTAAGGACCATCCCCCACCACCGCCAGCTCAGCCGGCCAGCAGCCCTGCGCACCGTCCGTGCTTTGATTACGTGTGTGTGCGCGTGCGTTCTCGCACACGCGTGCATGTACTTAACAGGCAAAGAAGGGTTCTGAGAATACTGACAACTATTTTTCAGCTTCAAGCACCTGGACTCCAGAACCTTCTAAAGGAACCCCTGGTCCGTCTTCCTTCCCAGAACCTCCATTCATGCACCAACAGCACAGAGAGGGTTCTCAGACGCCCGTGCCCGTCTGCAAGGCTCAGTTTATTATCTCTACACGCTGGGTTGGGGAAGACGAGGCAGGAAGTCACCAGCTCTGGCGTGGTGACAAGTCCCTCAAGGCACAAAAACTCTACACGACTCGGATGTGGCTGAAGAAGGTTCTAGTCCTGCCCTTTCTGGGCCTGGAGATGAACGAAAGAGGCTAGAGGGAGGGGGGGTCCTGGTACCTGCGCAGTGGGGGCTTTGGAGAGGGACAGTTAAGATGGCTGGAGTCCCGGCGAGAAGAGGGCCGTGAAGGCTGGGTGTGCGGACACCGCCACCATCCCCGCGACTTGGGAGGCAGAGGCAGCAAGATCCCAGCGGGAGACACGACCTGGGGAGGGGAGGACGAGGAATAGGAGGGGTGGCTTAAGTGGCCAGAGTACTTGTCTAGCAAGCACAAGGCCACGTGTTCAAATCTGCAGAC